GGAGAGGGCCCCAGCGCGGAGCTGGGAATGGGTCTGGAGGAGAGGGCTCGAGGGCGCTCCAGTATGTCCCCTTGAAGTCAGATGGAGGTCCTGAACAGCCAATGAGGTTCGAGCTGTCTCCTTCCCAGGTCCATGCAGCATCACTGAAATAGGGCAATGTAGACATTCCACCTCTTTAACCGGATGCTGCGTCTCTCTTGTTTGTGTAGGTTTACCTCTAGCAAACATGAAAGTCCTCATCCTGGGAAAACTCTCGAAGAAGAAGGATGAGCTGAAGACCCTGGTGGAGGAATTTGGAGGCAAAATCACTAGCACAGCCAGTAAAGCCAAGCTTTGCATCAGCTCGCAGAGTACGTGAATGATCATTGGAGTCCTGCACAGCAGGAGTCCAAATTTTGACCTGTACATCAACCCCCCACACCCTTATCCCACTGCCCCCCACTACCCCCAACTGTCTGACAGCTCAACTTCCACATTGGATTGAGAATAAGGATGGAGCTTGCTGTTGCACCCCTCTGTGACCCTCACCCCTCTGCCTCCCTCACTTGCCCCTCCCCCCACCCCCCACCTTCCCCTTGCCTCCATTTCTTTCACTTCTCCTTCCCAACCTGGGTCCACTTGGATTGGAGATGATGCTTAATGTTGGGAATGTTTTCTGCCACTCTGTGCTCCTTCAACCCTGCCCTCAGAGTGTTTAATAGGGACAGCATCGAGGGAGCTTCACTCTTTTGAGCTGAAAGTAGAGGAAGCTTCACTCTGTATCTTACCCAGTGCTGTCCCTGTCCTGGAGTTGTTTGTTGGAAAGTTTACTTTCTGTCTAAAAGATTAGAGGAAGCTTAATTCTCTACCAACCAATGATGTATATTTCGTGGGGAGTGTTTGCTGGGGACAGTGTGGAGAGAGCTTTACTTAAAAGATTAGAGGGAGCTTTATCAGTGTCTCACACCATGCTGTCCCTGACCTGGAAGCGTTTGATGGGGACACTTACAGGAGCTTTGCTTTCTGCTTAAAAGAATAGAGGCAGCTTTACTTTCAGTTTGAGAGAGTAGAGGTCTTCCTGTTGCAATGTTTCTCCACAGCAGTAGTACAACAATTGAGGTAGGCCTGATGGATTGAATGGCCTGTTTTGGTCACCTTCTGTTGGGTCTTTCTCCTGGATGGTTCGCATTCATTGCTGGTAACTTTTCTACAGAGGAGGTGGACAAAATGTCTAAGAAGATGGAGGAGGTGAAGGAAGCCAATGTCCGTGTGGTTTCGGAGGATCTCCTTGACGACCTGCAGTCAGGGAAGGGCCTTCAGGAATTGTTGTCGGTGCATGGGATCTCGTCGTGGGGAGCTGAGCTTGCCCCCGAGAAGGTCTCAGAGCCCCCTGTCGCTGGGAAATCCACTGGCAGCAAGGTCACAAAGAACTCCAGTGGCAAAATCAAGCAGGAGCAAGGTAATGGAGCTTCACACAAACAGCCGCGTTTGTATAGTGCCTGTCACTACCCCAGTACATCCCAACACGCTTCAGAGCCAAGGTACAGCTTCTGTCACATAGTCACTTGTAAGTTAGCAAGGCACCAGCTAATTCTGTACAGCAAGCTTCCACAAATGTCAATATCACAAATAACTCTAAGGTCTTGAATTTGTAATAATGGGCAAGTTGACGATTCCCCATCCCGCGCTTCCAAAATTTTCCGATCGCGTGCTGCTGTGTATTCTTTCCACAATATTGCATTCTGCACTGACAGTGCAGTACCTCCCTCAGTACTGAAGTGGACTACATATTGAAGGCCTGGTGTGGAACTTATTCCCATTGGCTCTTGCAGGCAGCCAGAACAATTTAAGAGTTGGTGATTTATTTAGAATTAATTCACAGGATGTGGGCTTTCCTACCGGGCCAACATTTATTGCCCAGTCTGTAGTCTCCCTACACAAGGCGGTGGTGGGAATGCTGCAGTCTGTTCAGGGGATTCGCTTCTGGGTTTGAGTGGAGTGAAGGGACTTGTTCAGGAAGCAGCCCCACAGTTAGAAAAATAATCTTTGTATCGTGGTAAAGTAGTGCCCTGCTGATGCTTGTCTCTTCCAGAATCCAGCAAATCAGAGAAGAAGATGAAGCTGACAGTTAAAGGTGGGGCAGCTGTGGACCCTGACTCTGGTACGTGGACCTGAAAATCGGCGCGCTCACTAACGGCCCCCATCGGCGCGGTCAGTAACGGCCCCCCGTCAACATCGGCGCGGTCAGTAACGGCCCCCATCAGCACGATCAGTAATGATCCCCATCGGTGCGGTCAGTAACAACCCCCATTGGCGCACTCACTAACAACCCCCACCGATATCGGCTGCAGTCAGCTCCAGTCAGTATTGCCTGCAGTCATTGCAGTGGTGTGCCCTGGTCAGTATCAGTCAGTCTGAGGTGAGGAAGGCCTGCAGTGTTTGGGTGATTTGCTAGAACCACAGTTTGTGCCAGGAATGTTTCACTCCCCACCCAAATTAATACAGGAGAATTGAAAATGTTGAAAAGACCAGTTTTCACTGTCTGTTGCACCATTGTGCAGACGCCCTGTCCTAAAGTCCCTGCTGTGAGAGGTCTGTGTCAATGTGCTCACTTCCTGAGGGGCTCAGGTTGAGGGAACACTGCTCAGGCCTCAATCCCAGGCTGCTGCTCAGAAAATCCATCCCTGCCTTTCCCCCACTCCACTTCAAAATGGTGCCCGGGATGGGGGGCATCTTTTGCATTGCCTCGTCAGGACTGAGTGGGTGGGGGGGCAGTGGGCACTTCCAGCTCAGCTGTAAGGGGTGGCACCTCTGGGAGTGTGGCACTCACTCAGTACCGCCCTGCAGTGGGTCAGCCTTCAACGTATGGCTGGCCTGGGATTTAAACGTGTGGCTGATCAGCTGATGGTAGTGCCAGTTGCTGGTGGGCTGATGTGAGGTTTCAGCCCCTACCCCACCCCTGAGAACTTGGGGATACTGGAGGGAGGGTGAGCAGACTGGGCGACGGGTACAGAGTGAAGCAGAGAATCCCATACCCGTGACTGATGTGTTTTTCAGGGCTGGAGGACTCGGCTCATGTCTTTGAGCAGGGAGGCAGAATCCTGAGTGCTACCCTGGGCCTGGTGGATATATCCCGCAGTCAGAACTCCTACTACAAGCTGCAGCTGCTGGAAGACGACAACAAGAAGAGGTTCACAGCGCCTAGGGTCAAGGGGGTTTCTGGGATCAAGGGGACCGGTCCCAGGGTTGAGGGTGTGGTCCTGGTTTTTGGAGGAGGCGGTCAGGGGGTCAGTCCCAGGGTCAAGGGGGCTGACCCAGTGATGGCTCTTTCCTACGCCGAGGGAGCCCTGAGACAAGGGTGGGCCAGGGCAGGGGGTGCTGGTGTCATAGGGATTGTGTCCTGCTGGGCCAGTGAGAGCTCTCTGATAGGGTTCACTGTGAAAGACAGCCCCCTCTATCAGTGCTGACACACAGACACACATGCACAGGCACAGGCGCACACGCACAGACATACGCATAGACACAGACACACATGCACAGGCATGACATGCACACACACACAGACGCACACGCACGGAGACACACTTCAGAGCAGGACTTCACGTTCCTGGGTCACTGGCTCCATTTCTGGGGAAGATGGGACCTGTACAAGTCTGACAGGTTGCACTTAAACTGAAAGGGAGCCAGGATCTTTTCTGGGGCTTCGGGTCTTCGGTAGTGCAGTTGGTGGGAGTTAAAACTAGTTTGGCAGGAAGGTGGGATACAGTGTGACAGGATTGTAGCAGTGGTAGACTGACCAGGACAGAAGAATGAAATCAGTACTAGCCAGAGTGTAAAAGTAGTCAAGGTAAGGCATAAGGTGCATGACAAAGACTGGTTGTCGATTATTTAAATAAAAGGAGATTTGTGAGCAAGGCAGATGAGTTGAGAGGAACGTTGATACACACATGGTTATGTAATATTAATGTTGGAGGAGCAGGACTGGCCACTCTCAAATTCAACTCAAAATTCAATCAAATTTGATCTCCCCTGATAAAGCCATGCTGATTATCCTTCATAAATGATTGCCCCTCCAGGTGGAGATTAATTCTGTCCCTCAGAATTCCTCCATTGATGTTTGACTGACTGGCCTGTCATATCCTGGTTTATCCTGATCACCCTTCATGAATAATGATACCACATTCGTTACCCTCCAGTCCTCTAGCACCTCTCCGGTGGCCAGAGAGGGTTTAAAAATTAATGTCCAGGTCGTTGCAATCTCCTCCGTTGCCTCCCACAGCAGCCTGGGATACATCTCATCTGCCCCTGGGGAT